GGTGCCCGGCGTACGCCGGGAAATTCGGAGACGAGACCGAGGGAACTCAAATAATCTGTTTTTATTCTTCCTTTATTTTATTTTCATAAACATCCTAATAAATATAAAACAACGTACCAACTTTTACAAAGGTTATAGAACATAAAACTCCACTATGACACACTGTGTATTATATATTTTTGTTGCCAAATTAATCTAGTTGATTTTATACGCAGTGTAGGACGATGCCAGGCGCGCTCGCGGAAAAGAACCTCCGCTTATTGGACTGGGGGCCAGAGCTACTCGCTTGATACCTATTTAGTTTCTTTTCATGGTCTCCTTGTGTCCTAAATTAAGACACACTGTCTCAATATACGAAAGTTTCGTTTGCTACGACCAAATGGCCCATTAGACAAACTATACATCTCTCTTCAACAGTTTCCCCGACGTGACGGTCGGAAATGCATAGCTCCTTGATTGTTGCCCTCTCCTGCATGTCGACTGCTAGGAAGTCAGTATTAAGTTACCCCATCACAGTAAATAAAGTCTTTTGTGAAAAACAATATAAGGTACCCTACGAAGAATTGAGGGCTATCGTTACTTATATAATTTATGAAACTGTTATTTATGTAAGATGTTTACATAGATAACCTTCAGCATCGCGACAAATCATATGCCAGTACAAGATCTAGCCAATCAAACCGCTGCTTGTGTGTCAGGGGCGGGAGATTCATGTGATTTGTTGTTGGTCGAGCTTCAGACACGCCCGCCGCCAAGCTTTTTTTGAAGCTGTAGTGTGGACGGGCCATAAGAAGGCTAGGTGCTGGACTCTTGGTGAAGGCTGAGCAAGGGCTCGCAATAACTGTTAAAGGGCAAGGCTATGGTAACGATATTGGATCACACAGAAGACGCATGATGAGAAAAAGACTGAGAACAGGTAATAGGCTCTAATTTAGCACCACCATCAGGCCTTTCCATTTCCATTTCTGTTTTGTTGTCCATTTGTGACCTGCTCTATCGAAATCAGTCGCATTGACCCGAAGACACATTTTGAGTTGTATACACTGCTGGAAAGAGGGTATTCCTAGCTTTCTAATGATATCAGGATTGTTTTTGTACTCCAAATATTAAGCGAAATATGTCACATTATATAATGACTGTCACCGAGTCATCATTTTGAGAAAAAGGCCTTCAAAGTTTTCTCTTCTCTGGAATCCATCGATCTGATTGATTATTAGCAAATGATCAAAATACTACGGAGGGAAGATATTTTCGTTTGGATTGCTGGTCTGGGGGAAGCTCACGAGTGTGTGTGGTGTGTGTGTGTGTATACGTGTGTGTGTGTTTGTGTAATTTTGCGTTTGTGTGTATTGCGTTTGTTTCCCGGGGGAAACCCTCACGAGAAACACCGGCTGTTGTTATGCCTGCTGTGACGTTAAGTTACTCCGTTCTCCGCTTGTAATTATGCCGTTACAAGCTTCAAAGTTGTATTTATCATCTGAATTAGCCGAAACAAGTTTAATATTCTGAAAGCCAAGACTTTGTTTTAATTGAAATCAGATGAAAACAAACTGTAACGGACCCTGCCGTGTTATTTATGATTACTCTACGCTTACATTCATAATGTCAGCCGGAGGGAGGGGGGGCGGCGCTGCGGAAGAGCAGATTGCCTGTCATCTTCCCTTTACAAGCTTAAAGAATGTATTTATCGTGTGAGTTTGGAAATAAAATTTTCATATTCTGAAAGCCAAGACTTTGTTTGTTTAAAATCAAACAAAACACCCGAACCCCGAAAAAATTGTTTTTTACGCAAATCCACGTTTATTTTGAAATGAGCCGTTGCGACTTCCGACTGATTTCGATAGAGCGGGTCACATTTTGTATCATTATTGTCATTATCATAGAAAAATATATAATGATCATGGTTTGTTGTTTTAACAAGATCTGTACCTAACAAGTATTTGTGTTAAGAATACTGATGGCAAGCCGTGATAACTCTGGAACTCCTCAATACTTCCTTCAAACATTGTATTTTACCAATATTGGGCTTCCTAAATATTGCACTAAGATATATCTTCAAGTTTCAAGCCCAAGCCATATTCTGTCACATGTTAACTCATTATGGGTTGATTCTGAAACTCCCTCTGGTGCTACAGGTGACGTTACCCACCTTCATGTGATATGTGTATTTGCAAGCTGAAGTTTAAATTTGCGTGTGAAGAGAGTGATAAAACATTAAATGTCAGCATTACCAAGCACAGAATAATACTCTTAATTGATGTACCTGAGCATCAAGAAACGTAATGAAGCAGCAGCTTAAGTGAACAGCCAACCAATCATGAAGCCAGAGTGCAGTATCTGTACCTGCTGTTTGAAGTAGCGTCTCTCCTCCTCATCGATGAGGACCAGGTTGAGGTAGTACCGCACCGAGTACTTCTTGTTGATGTCCCTCATGCTCGGCGTCATCTCATAGCCTGCGAGGAACAGCCTGATGGGGATGGACTCTCCTGCAGCACAGCCAAGCAGAACCAGATAACATGTTTAGAAGTGGCCTTCAACAGATCCTCACAATAATCAGACGGCTCATGAAGACAGGACAAAGCTGCTTTACCTCTGACTGGTGCCCCGTCCATGATCTCATACTTTGCTATGGTGTCGTTCTCGTGGTACACGTTAGGACCTGTGCCGGTTGTCTCCCGCTTGATGATGTCAATCTCCATATGTTTGATTTTAATCCTCACCAGCAGAAAGTAAATCTTCCCTACAATCACATCTTTAAGGTGATACCTGCAAGCAAATGGTATGGTCCGTCACACTCAATTTTCTGAAGGAAAAAAGTCTGATCCAAAAAAAAGAACTTTTACATTTCAGTAGATTATTTGACATAAAAATACATACTTGGATTTATTGTACTCAAACTCTATGTGTAGACAGTCCTCGATCCCCACTTCCATCTTGATGGAGGAGTTGAGCTCGGGGTATGAGCTGAGTGTGTGCACCACGATTTCCAGCTCTTTGCTGATGTCATTCAGCCTCCGGCTCCCTGTGGCCCTCAGGAAGTAACTGGAGAGAAAGAAAGAACGATCACATGACTATGAAACAAGACTGTAACACTGTTATCACAGAGAGGCCCTGTTTGTTACATTACAAATATGAGTGTTACTAATATTCTCCTCTGACCTGGAGTCCACAAAGAACAGTGTAATGTAAGTGTGAAACTGTTCCTTTAACATTAGCGCTTGACCATGTTACACGCAAAATGTTCACAAGTATGTCAACACGTCAACAATAGAGTGGTGCAAGACGATGTGTTTAGGTAGGTCGAAACCTGAAGATAGCAAAACAAGGGCTCCCTCCACAAAAAAACATGGGATTTTTTTCCTTGGTCTTTGTAATATTGCAGAACATTTCTGAAATATTTGTCTCCAAATATTAACACCACTTTTACTATTTTTCAGAGATGAATGAAATGATCAGGATTGAAGAGCTATTAACAAAGCACATTTCCACTGCAGCGTGGTAGCCCCGTTTAAGCGTCCCTAAGCGTCCTCGCTCAGGCCTCGGGCTGCCTCGGGCTGCCTCGCTGGCCGTCTGAGGCCGTGGGGCATTTGCATTACAGTTTAGGACCTGGGGCAGAAACGCAGTGTAGGCGGGGCGATCGGCTTTTTTTTGGCCAATGAGATGTAGGAGCGTCGTCACCTCCTCGGTCGACCACGGTGTGCTTTTCTTTGACGTTGCCATTTTTGTAGCTCCTCCGTTTACAAAAATGCTGTGTCTAAAAATGCTGCAAGCTTGCTTCTAGATATATATGCAACGCTAGGGATGATCTCGCGCGCGATCTTGTGACGATTCTCTCTGACCAATCAGCAGTCGAGAGTGTTGACGTCACTAGTTCAGCCCTGGCCCTGGCCTGATAGAACCACGATTTTATGGGGCCGGAAAAAGGGAAAAGTACCCCTAGCCGGTGCCTGACGCTATATGGAAAGGCCACCAAAAACTGGCCTGGCCGCTTGAAGACGATTAAGGACGCTTAAACGGGGCTACCCGCTGCAGTGGAAATGCGACATAAGCTAAATGCAGCTCATGATGTCTCATTTAAGACACAAAGAAGCTCAAGACATTCATGAGTGGTATGCTTACTGACTGATTGTATTTGATGTTAACAAGTGTAGAGATACCATAATGACAAGTATTCAGTCATTACTGTTATCTGAAGTGTTGGATAAGTAGAACAAAGACATGTTTTTTTATAAAGTCACATAATAGATGGGAATGTTGTGATATTGGGTTATAAATAAAATTGTCTTTACTTACACAAACGCTGAAACATGCAATACATTTACATCTGCTGCTGTGTCGTACATTAATGCATCATGAGATAAGCTGATTGTAAAGATACACTAAAAACAATGGTTGAGGAGATTTAAGATTCAATGCTATTACTATTAGATGATTTGGTGCATGTTCAACCTACATTTCAACATAATATACAAGGCAAAGGATTTATGCAAACAAAGCTTACCGTAATTTGACGTTCTGACCGGTGTAAGACTCGTAGGGTTTCTCCACATGTGTGAACTCAAAGTCAAACGTCTGTGACTGAGTGAGCTCCCCGGGCCGCGCCAAGTCCTTCACCAGAGACACAAACTCATGGTGGTTCCCTCTGTCGTAGTACAGCTCTGCAGAGGACACAACAACAGAAGCAGACAGATACAGATGAGCAGGTTTAAACATTGTAATAAAGCGTTTGCACAATCTTTAACTCCTCCACCTTATTAACTAACTCGGTTTTTAAAAGGCCAATTTTTATTCTGCCATTTTGCCCTTTTATCCATGAACCTGAAGTACTTCTGCTTCTTGACAAATGGTAGGGAACATAAGAGGGAGGGACGCGTGCAGCATTGTTGATAATATCAATACACAACTGTAATGTAACAAAGTAACACCCTACTGTTGATGCAATCATACTAACTAAGCAGATGGCCTTTTTTTTGTTAACTGAAAAGGAAAATAGAACAGTACGCCTTTTTTTAATACTTGTAAACAAGCTGTAGTTGGACTGAATATCTTTTAATGAAGTGAGCGGCTGGCTTTACACAGTGCAACCTTTGTGGAATTAGCCTCTGATTTTAAATGCATATTTCACAATTTTACTTCAAAACAACCAAAAGCTCCCGGCTGAACTAATTTGTAAAGGAATGCTCTTGATTATTTTATACATTCCTGCGTAAATTAAGGGTGTTTGAAGGTTTTTTTATCAAATAAAAGTTTTGTAATTTACTTTTGGTTAAAATCAATGACAAAACTTTTGTGTCAGTTAAACAGTCTAAACTGGGACAGGGGACGGAAATTACACTTGGCTGGAAATACATCTATTCTGTAACCATGAGAGGATTACAAAATTGTAGAAATATTAAAGTTCTATCATCAAAGTGCAGTGTAAGTATCAAAAGTACTCATAATGCTAACTCATAAGGGAGGCTGTGGATCAGTGGTTAGTGTGCTGAACTTCGAATCAGGGGATAGCAAGTTCGAGTCTGCAGTCAGCATGTCGTTGTGTCCCTGGGCAAGACACTTCACCCCAAATTGCTCCTGTGTCCACAGTACCGAATGAATGTAAGTTGCTTTGGATAAAAGCGTCTAACAAATTACATGTAATGTAATAATGCAGCTGAATGGTAGGACACTTGTCAACGTTAGACTTTTGATGTATTATTATGGGGTCATTATTGCTGATGCATTAAAAGCATGATAATGGTTACACTGGTCAATGTGGTTTTACTTACTCAATATATTACTGGGCGGTTCGATTTTGTTACAAATGTTTTCTATCATGTAAACTCTTAAATGGCATAGTAACTCGACGCTTAACCTGTACAATTAATGTTTTGAAGTTAACAGTATCTATTTTCATTTGAGGAAAGAAGTATCAAGAACAGTAACTAAATACATTTACTTGGCTACATTTTCACACTGCTGAATCAACTTCAGTTCCAGTTTGTTATTTTTGGTTTGTAACATCATGCTTAGTGTTTGCTAATAGCAAAACAGCAACTTTTATTCGCAACCTGCGACTAATTACGTTATGTCTAACCTGCACTCTTATCCAGAAACTAGTTACTACTTCCTACGAAAGTCACAGTTGTAATGTGACAGGACAGGTTTTAGAAACAAGGGTCAAAGGTAAATGAGACAGCTAGCCAATGGCTGTGTCAGCTGATGTTAGCTTGCACCAACATCTGTCACGAGACCTGACACTTCAAATTGACACTTGTGGGCCGCAGTGTGGCGTTCAAGTGCTTCACTCGTGAAATAATTAACGTTACACTTTGGGAGTGTTTGGTTGTGTAGTGAGCGCCTGTAGCTAGCTCTCTCTCGTACTTTGTCTCTCGGCAGGCCCGCAGCCGCTCACCTATCTGGCCGACAAACTCAATCTTGATGCCGTTGTGCTCGAGCCTCTTCCCCGGGTACTTCAGCGTCACGTTGACTTTCCCCGACACCGTTTCCCCATCGTAGAAGAGAAAATATTTGTCCTTCCTGCCGTCTTCGGTTTTGTGCTCAGCTTTCTTTCTCGTTTCGGCGTCATTCAGAACTATATCGATGTCCGCACTTTGCCCGAAACCAAAGAAGCTCATGGCTGTCACTGTGCTCTAATGCAGCACACAGGCTCGTGCTCCTGTGCAAACTGCTCCCAGATTATTGAATATTTCCAGTTACAACAGTGTGAGTGCGCATGCGCGACTGTCACGTGAAGGAAAATCTTCTCGTTTTAACGTTTTTCATAAACAAAAGTGGCATACTCTTCATTAACAAGACGATATATGGTTGTATGTGGCTATTGAAATTAGATAAATTATGTTTTAATCGATACGTCTGCACTTTTTCGGCGCAGTATCAACAGGCGGAAGAAACTCACTCACAGTCTTTACTTCCCGGAGTGCTGTCTTTCAGGTACTCTTCACTGTCATGTAGAAAGGGTCGAACCCAAATCATTGTGCGTTCGGATCAATCGTTTTCTCCTTTATAATCAGTAAATGTCCTGCACTCAAAACGTAATCAAGTAAAAGTACAAAAGAGGCATTAGATAATACTCAAAGTACTAAAAGTAAAAACACTCTTCACGCAGAATGGTCAATTTCAGAATCATAATGTAGGCCTATTTTATAAATAGATTACAATAAGTTATTTATTAATGTGCTTATCTCTTGTGGCAGATGGTAAATGTCGAGCTAAATTTAACAAGGCTACTGTTTGTAATGTTGGTTAGCCTAATCCATAATAATGTCATAATTTTTTAGATGATTTATATTGTATTGTATAAATTCACATATAAATACAAGAATAAAGGTAAAGACTGGCCCAGAGTTCTCTTACATGCAAGAAAAATAGGTACAGTAAGAGCAATATACCTCCTCTTATTAAGCCAGAATGAATTCCTTCTTCCTTGTTCTATTTCATAGATGACATCTTGTTTCACAGCGGTTGTATTGTATTTAGTTTGCGTGTGTATGATTGTTTCTAGATTTTAGGTCTTACTTTATATAATGTAAGCCATTTAATGTCGATCACCATGTTGATAGTGTGGTTGACTTTGGAAACACCAGGGACAATGATGGAAAAATGTGCCTTGAATCTTTGGCTAAATCCCTAAAAATATGTATATGTGGGTTTTTTTCATGAATTGTAGAATCGTAGAATAGAAAAAAACAACAGTAACTAGATCTTAATATTGGTATTAACCTTTACTCTTGATTTTAACTTGTTTACTTTGCATTCACCTCTGTTCTGGATTTTACTCCAAGAAGATATTTCAGTGTGATGTCAGTGCTGCACCACCAGAGAGCAGAGTTCACTAACAGGAGACAGATCAACCCCAATCATCTTCACTTAACATTTCCATCCCTGATTTAGTGTGCAATATTCAGTATTTTAAAGAAAATCTATTCTGAAAGTACTTCATTTTTTTTGTTTTAAGGTTCCATACATACAAGTGTATCTAACAGTACCTTTTTTTGAGAGAATTAAGCAAATCAGTCAGGTTATCAAAATGTCATTGTCTCACTGAGAAAGCCTTTAAATCACAAGCTGCCATTAAAGAAAGCCCATTCCTTCCAAAAAACTTTATATTCTAGCAGTTGTAAAGTTTTGAATACATAAAAGTGTATCTAATAGTATCTTTGTACAAGAAAAAAGCAAAAATCAATGATGTTAACAAAAATGGTTTCACTGAAATAGCGTTAAAATCACAAAGTTCCTTTAAAGAGTCACATTCTTAACCTTTCCAGGCCAATAGAAATAATCCTTCATATTAAAAGAATTGCGTGTTGTGTCTGTTTTTATATATTTCATTTAAATCTTCATAAATAGGATGGCAAGGAAAAAAGCTTCTGAAACTTTAAAACATTTCCCCAACTCTTACTGGCCAATACCACATTTTTACTATAAAACAAATATCAGCCAAATATGCCAGTATGCTGATACATCAGTCGAAGAGGCTATAGCACTGACCCACCCACAACATTATTAAATATTGTGTACAAGTAAAGAAACAATAATTGTGTAAGGAATGTATGTGTCACTTTAGATTTTAACAAGACTCTATTAACTGCGTATTACATTGTGGTGACTCGTGAAATAATATTATAATGATCCTCCTTTGTTAATAATTTCATGATCTAACTTGACACTGTGAAATGACACCCCTGAGGCTTTTATTCAGTATGAACTGAGTCGCAACATAAACAACTTTAACTTTTGAGACAGTGAACACAGTTGTCACAGCTTGAACATCTGAGTGTCACACAGTGAAATTGTACACCTCAAATGAAACTTTTAACAAGCGCAGCTTTGTATCTGGGATCAGTGTGGCTGCAGCTCTGATCAACTCAAACATGTTGTCAATGTGTCATGCATCATATCATGCTGTGGTATTTTCTAAATAGGCTGCATCATTCTGTCAAATACAATGTTCTCTCCTCACTGTGGTGTCTGCTCCCGTTTGATAACTGCATGTATCTGTAGCTATTAGAGCAAATCAGCTGCAGAGGTTCCCCTTCAAACTCAGGAAGGGTACCGGCCTCACCCACTGTCAACTATGCTCTGAAACTTTCCTGGTCAAATACATCAGGGACCTTTTTTAATAATGTCTCTATGGACATTTCCTTTACCCTAAAACGTAATCAAGCCATAATGTTCAATTAAATTATTCAAGTGTCCATTGTTAAAAGAAAACCCTGCTCAAATTCAGTTGGTCAAATTGTTTTTAAAAAATCAGCTCAGGCCAAAATTATATCAAATTGTTTGCCTATGAATTTTTACAAATCCAAATTGAGCTGTTTTTTGACCTGACTTGCTATTTTTAGATCTGAAAAATCACCAACAGAATTTGTTTACAATTCATTACAAAATATAAATTTAAGCGGTATCTTATGGCACAACTGCGCAGCCCTGTGTCAAATTTAAAATGTGAGATCAGTAAAACAAGTAAAAGTAGTCTTTTGTAAATTCTGAGAAAGTAAAACTTAAATCATATTCATTCAGAAAGATAATATAAAAAAAATATATCTGATACTAATAAAGTATTAAAGGTCACCTATTATGTGAAATCCACTTTTTCATGTCTTGTATACATAAACATGTGTCCCCTCTGTGTAAAGAGACTCTGAAAGTTTCAGGAAAAAATATTCTGTCTCTTTTTGTCTGAAAATGAGCTGATCAGATTTTGGCCGCTTTATGATGTCACAAGGTTTTGTTGGACTGTGTAACCATTAGCCAATCACCAACCAAGGTACCCCCCCCCCCACCTTATCACCTGAATCTCCTCCTAGAGCACCATTGTGTTCTTTTTAACCAAATATCTCTCAGAGGGGCGTGGGGAGGGGCTCCTTATTTTCATTTAAAGTAACAGACAGAGAATCAGCACTTTGGAAACAGGGCTGAAACAGAGGGGATTATGGGATGCTGCAATGGTCTGTTTGGTGTTTGGAGCCAAACACTTCAGAGACATGTTTTGTATATATCTGAGACCTATAATATATTGATGAAAAACAGAATAATATGGGGACATTTAAAGGCATCCAGTGGAGAGTTCTTGTACATTTTCTTCTTTTAAATTCAGAATAGTTTATTACAAAAATAATATGCATTTATATTTAAAACCTTAAAATGATAGATGGATGAATTTACAACATCAAAAAAAAGTATTGTTGTAAGTACTGTTTACATCTGTGCTAGCTAGCTAGCTTAAAATATTCACTGACCTTTTCGGTGCATTTGTGCAAACTTTTTTCGTATACCAGGTGTCATCAGAAGAATGTCGAGAATGCAAACACAATGCGAGCAACTGTTTAAAAAAAATGGAATGGTATGTCTTCACCTAAAACACTTTCATATGGACGACATGGTGTTTAAAAAGAAAGGAATTGATCTGGAAATTACTGATCAGATGAAATAGATTGCATGGTGGTAAATTACAACTGACAGATCAGCACAGAGACACACTGCGGGACTTTGATAGGAGAGAGCACAGCTACGATGAGACAGCCTCTAAAACAGACATGTGTTCACTAGACACCTCCTTCACCGTCTGAAAATGTCCTTCATTCAATGTTACATGATTCATAAGATCCAGGGTCAGAAAGTTGTTTTTCTGCCACTTTGAACCAAATAGGTGACCCAAGCTTTAATTGATTTCCCTGTGTTTTAAAAGAAGGTGTCCTCTGGCTCTGCTGCAGTATAGAACTCCTCTGAGCTCATTGATTAGAAAGCTTTGTCCAGGAATCTACTGCCATTTGGCACAGCCAGAGGAAGAAAACAGCTGCTTTCAGAGCACAAAGTGTAAATGGCTTAACTCCCACTAATAGATTTTACATGGACAAAGAGGCTGTCACACTGAAAAGGATTGCATACACAGCAGGAGACTCTGAAGTAGTCGAGGAGGCTATAAGAAGCCGAGAAATTAGGAAATGACTGGCAGATGCAGAATCCTCACACACACACAGCAGAAGAAAAACAAACACACGTGTCTCCGGTAATATTAGAAGTGAGTTTTATTAATCACAAATAGAGTGGCTCTAAAATGAACAAAAAAAACCCAGCAGGCCCCAAATGGACATTCTACTGTATGTGAGTTTGGTTCAGAAAATCATTTTTCCTGACGAGTACCAGAGCTCAGAGTGTAACAGTTTAACAGTGGAGCGCTGCCATACCTCAGTTGAAAGACAATGGTGAGTTAGCCCGGTTTATAATACAGAACACACACTGGAAAGCATCTCTGCATGTGAAGAGAACACCCCCCCACAGCACCGATCAGACATGTGTTCAGGCTGGGGGGGCATGGAGGCCTATATTTAGCTGCTGCTCATTAATTCCTGTTTGCCTCTACAGGTTTATCAAACGCCTGAATAATTACAGCTCCATTACAACTGAATGGCACTTTCATAATTTCTGAGTCAGGATCATCGAGTGCTGGGGTAAGATAGTCTTCTGTCTGTCAGTGTAATACATGAAAAAACCTTAGTGCGTCTTTTCAAACGTGTTTTAAGCTCATATATAAATGTCCCTGCTTTGGGTATCCATCTCTTTCTTTTGCCTAATAGTGCTATGTGTCTTTACCAAAAATAATTCCCACTATATTTAGGCACTAATACAATTCTATTTCTACATCAACACCTTCAAATCTATGAAAAAAGTCTATTTAC